ATAGACGGTGGCCCATATAAAAAAACTATGTTACATACAAATGTACGAACAAATAAAAACCCAGCGAAGTGGGTCCTTGCAGCTAGTGTAGTAATAAAAATATAACTTGACATACATATTTATAAATAATTTATATTCAAATTACATCATTTCTATGACCAAGGGCAGCGTAAGGCATGGACGATGTGGACCACCGTCTATGCCTCGTGGTCCGAAGGGCCTCGCGCCTCGAAGGTTTATGCATTACTTAAAAGCCGTGAATGCGACAAAAATTTTACTCGTCATAAAACGATAAATATTTTGTCAAATTTTTATTCATAAAAATGCAGTTTCAACTGCTTTTTATTTTATAAAATCTGTTTTCTTGCGCCACCGGAGGGCCTTTTAAACAATAGGTAGTCTGTTAGCGTTGGTCAGTAGTACAGTAATACCTCGACTTACGCTACCCCAACTTACGCGAACCGGGAGTTATGCGATTTTCAAATCTCGTCAATTCCTCTTTTGTTTGATCGCCACGCGACTCTCGATTACTCACTCCCCTCACACTATTGTTTGACTTACATGTTCGGACGTGTCGCACGGAATCGACACATAGCTACAATTTATTTTGTGTTATTTATTTCTATGTTTGTTATATCTACGGAGACTCGAGAGACTATGTGGTGATTTCTTGTAACCGTGAATGAATCAAGAGACAAGATAAGATTAACGAGAACATTTATTAGCTTACATACATCCGACTTAGATTTTACACAAATTGCAAAATTATACTCCGACTTACGCAAATTCGACTTACGCGGTTATCGCTCGGTCCCACCTATCGCATAAGTTTGGGGTATCACTGTAGTCCAAATTCAATACGAACGTTTGTTTCTTGAAAATTTGATCACGATTTAAATACAGTATTTACTTTTAATATTACCGATATGTCATCGAAAAGAAAATGTGTTGTCTTATCATTAAAAGACAAATTAAAGTATTTGTTTCAATTATCCGGATTTTTCCATATCCGGACTACCTTCATCCCCAATTAGTCCAGATAATCGAGGTTCTACTGTAATTCATTCCAACACAAAAAACACATTCAAAGCTAAGTAGTACATTAAAAAAATAAATAACTATAGTAAGGAAAACACTGAAAAGTGCATTTTGTAGTTGTAAATGTATAACCATAATAGAATAATAATTGATTAAAAAAAATGTAGTTTTATTTGCACTTTACTTTTGAGGATAGATGATAGTGGAGGTGTAAACTGGTGGTGGAGGAGAGGGAGAAGGGAAATTATACTAAAACTTAACTTACATAACATAATGTAACAATAACTTAGAAAAGATTAAAAAAAA